ACAAATACACCCTGTCAAAACAAGGGTGAAAAGGAGGACCAGCGCACTGACCCCCCCACACACACACACACTCAGAGAGAGAGAGAGAGAGAGAGAGAGAGAGAGAGAGAGAGAGAGAGAGAGAGAGAGAGGAGAACATGTTTTATTTTAAATGGGACATAGAGGCAATAGGCCAGGAATTAAATTACAACCTTCACATTTTAATTTTACATTTTGAGACTCTAGAAAGCAATAATTCCTAAAATCATGGAAACGTGTTGAATTAATTATACAGACAAAATGGGTTGTTTCAGTCATTTTGTGCTTGATGTCTTACAAACAGAGCTACTTATAACTTCAGCCTAGAGATAATATACTTTGTGAGATCATTATTCATTTAAAGCACTACAAACGGGGGCTGGAGAGACGGCTTAATGCTTAAAAGATCTTTTTGCTCTTACAGAGGGAGGACCCATGTTCAGTTCAGTTCCCAGCACCTACCTGGTGATTCACAACCCAAGCATGCTGCAAGCAGACTTACATGCAGGCACAGCATTCATACACATAAAACAAGCAAACAAAAAGTAAATCTGTTACAAAACAAACAGACTCTACAACTATTTGCAAAGAATATTTAAACAGAGGTTTTTTTTTTTTTTTTTTATTTTTTAAATAAAGGATTTGTTTTTTTGCCTCGGCCCTGCCGGAACTTGATCTGTAGACCAGGCTGGCCTTGAACTCAGAAATCGCCTGTTTCTGCCTCCCAAGTGGTGGGATTAAAGTGGGGGTCCACCCTCGGCCTGCCGTTTTTTTTTTTATTTTTATTATTATTATTAAATGGTATTTCCAGGATTGACCTATATAAGGATGTCTTGTATTAGAGATTACAAACTACAAATATACAATATATCGCATTGCCTAATATAGCCTGGTGTTTTACAGGAAAACCAATAAAGACAACTTAATTTTTCTCAAGGAAAAAATATTTGGTATTACAAATTTAAAGTATAATTTCATATATAAATTATAAAGGAGAATACAGTAAACAAGGTGTCATGTATTCCAGGTTAGCCTTGAACTTTGTCAAGCTGAAGCTGGCCTTGAACTGCTGGACTTCCCCAGTATTCACTCAGAATAGAGTGTACTGCTCAAAATACTGTTTTTATAAGTCTTGAGGTGGTACCTCGGTTTAGTTTGCTCTGTTATTATTGTCTCTCTCCCCCCCCATTGTTTGTTTGCTTGATTAATTCATTGATGTGTGTGTGTGTGAGTATGCACATGCACGCATATGCACATGTACAACAATCTACAGTAGTTGCTTACCTTCTTCCACCATATGGGTTACAAGGATCGAACTCAGAAAATTAAGTTTGGTGGCAAGCACCCTTACCCCCGTGAGCCATCTCAGTAGCCCTTTAGTTTGCTGTTTTTCTGACTTTGTTTATGTGGACTGACTTTTCCCATTGTTTTAAAATTTATTTATTTTTATACTATATGCACCTACATGTATGTATGTCTGTGTGAGAATGTCAGATCTTGGCGTTATAGATAGTTGTGAGCTGCCACGTGAATGCTGGGAATTGAACCCAGGTCTTCAGGAAGAAACAGTCAGTGCTCTTAACTGGTGAGCCGTCTCTCCAGCCCTTTCCCAATGTTTGATTTACAGGATGTTCCTTAGGATCAACTCTTTGAGTTGACAAATAACCCCAAAACACTGAATTTAATGTGTGTGTAGAAAATCCTCTTTCTGTTGCTTGAGGGTCCAGCTACTGCAAGAACCCCTTTCTCAAAACTGTGTCCTCAGCATATTGCACAGTCCCTGCAGAGTTCTTCAATCTGATCAATATTCACAAATTGCTACTGCACAGTCTACATTAATATCCTCACCTGCCGTTAAGATTAGTTCAGTTGCCTGTGACTCCTGGAAAGCTTTGGTGCACCGTCATGTCAAACACTTTTGTTTTCTTTTCTTTTTCTTTTTTCTTTTTTCTTTTTTCTTTTTGGTTTTTCAAGACAGGGTTTCTCTGTGTAGCCCTGGCTGTCCTGGAACTCACTTGGTAGACCAGGCTAGCCTCGAACTCAGAAATCCGCCTGCCTCTGCCTCCCAAGTGCTGGGACTAAAGGCATGCGCCACCACCTCCCGGCTACACTTTTGTTTTCTTGAGTCAGGGTTTTACTAATAATAACCCAGCTAGCTTCAAACTTCTACTCGTTCTACTAAGTCCTGGGGTTTGTGCTCGTATGCCTGGCTCCTAAATGGTTATCGGTCAAGACAAGTTCAAACTTTTTTCCATCTTTGGATCTGAGCTTTGTGGCATTATTTCTCTACCTACTGTGTATCTATCTTTTAGTGCTGGGGATTGAACTCAGAGTATTACATAAGCTAAGTGTGTCCTTTACTGTTAAGTTGTATCCCTAGACCTGAGCTATATATTATAGTTAGTTTCAAAATGTATTTTCTGTGTATAGCTGTTTTGTTTGCGTGTATGTTTGTTCACCACATGTGTGCCTTGTGCATACAGAGACTAGACTACGGTGTTGAATCCCTTGGGTCTAGAGTTAGAGATGTTTGCAGGCTGCTGTGTGGATGCTGCGAATTGAATCTGGGGCATCCACGAGAGCATGAACGTTCTCTTAACCACTGAGCCACATCTCCGGTTTGTATTAATAGCTTTAAGAAGCATCAATATGGCTCAGTGAGTAAAAGCTTTTGCCACACAAGCTCAATGATCTAAGTTCCCCAGAATCCACGGTGGAAGGAGAGAAATGACCCTGAAAGTTATTCTCTGCCCTCCACATGTGCACTATGGTACATACATAAATACCAGCACTCACATACACACCAATAATAAATACATAAACACATCTTATGTATATATGTATACACATACAATTATATATATACATATATATACATATACATATATATATGTATGTATGCATACACACACACATTTAAAGCATCACCACCTTAAATGTCTTTAGAAGGTCTTTGTTTTATAGGTGCAATCTCTAAACCATTTCCAGCTATCAGGTGCCACCATCTTTCTCTTTACTGCCCAGATAGGAAGCTTGCTAACGGTACTATTTATAGCTTACAAGTCAGTTCACTGGCAATCTCTTATGCAAACAAATCCTGTTCTCTTGACCATGATTAAGAATGAGTATGACTGCCAGGCAGTGGTGGCGCACGCCTTTAATCCCAGCACTTGGGAGGCAGAGGCAGGCGGATTTCTGAGTTCAAGAGTTCGAGGCCAGCCTGGTCTACAGAGTGAGTTCCAGGACAGCCGGGGCTACACAGAGAAACCCTGTCTCGAAAAACCAAAAAAAAAAAAAA